GATGAGGTGAGGCAGCGGGGTGGTGCGCCCACCCCAGCAAGAGCGGGAGATGATTCCGGGGAGAGTGAAGAGAGATGTCCAGTTAGAGGGAAACAGCGCTTGGAAAGATATACAGGAGGAGAAAGAGCGCCTCCCCCTCCTTCCCTGGACCTCCCACAGCTCTTCACAGGTCTATCAGTTTCCCTCCCTCACCCTCTCTCATGACCAGTCGGTTCTTCACTCTCCTCTCCTCCCCTCTCTCTCTCTCTCTCTCCCTCCCTCCCTCCCTCCCTCCCTCCCTCCCTCCCTCCCTCCCTCCCTCCCTCCCTCCCTCCCTCCCTCCTTCCCTCCCTCTCCCTCTCCCGCTCTCTCGCTTTTCCATTCCCTTGTCGCAGATCGTCATTTCAATTTATAACGAACGTTATATTGTTTAAGAACATGGTACAGCATAAATTTATATATCTTATTTGACTAATATATGAGGTAGCGGAGTTTCGGAGAAACTTCTACAAAGAACGAGCAAGTAGTACTGCAATACCGATCGATCCTGGTACATATCTAAAGTCAATAACACGTTGGTACCAAATATATAACAAGTTTTTGCTGTCAAGAAACTGTCATACGTGCGAAGTTTGCACAACCCTGCATGGTTGCTACGGAGATGAGGAGGAGGAGGAGGAGGAGAAAAAGGAAGGGGACAGAGCACGAGCACGAGCACGAGCACGAGCACGAGCGAGAGCACGAACACGAGCACGAACATGAGCACGAGCAGGAGCAGGAGATGGAGATGGAGCAGGACACGGAGCACAAGCAGGACACGGAGCAGGAGCAGGAGAAGAAGCACGAGCACGAGCACGAGCACGACCAGGACCAGGAGCAAGGCTATAGAGCAGGAGGAGGAGGAGGAGGAGGAGGAGGAGGAGGAGGAGGAGGAGGATGGTGATGAGGATGATGATGTGAATGGTGATATAAGGAGCAGGAGAAGAAGCACGAGCACGAGCACGAGCACGAGCACGAGCAGGGGCACGAGTAGGAAGGAGCCAGAGCAGGAGCAAGAGCACGAGCGAGAGCACGAGCGAGAGCACGAGCACGAGCACGAACATGAGCACGAGCAGGAGCAGGAGCAGGAGCAGGAGCAGAGGCAGGATGATTGTGGTGGTGGAGGATGAGGAACGCGATGAATTCATCAATCCGGCAACGTGACAGTGCTGGAGACTTCGATATTGATGAGCAGGAGACAGAGAGGTAGAATGGGGTTGGGAGAGGAGGTGGACGAGGAATATGGACGAGTAGTGTTGAAAGTTCCGACATGAGCTGTTATCACAATCGTGATAATGCCGACGACGGTCATTGACATCTTTGACTGTCTTGTCTGTTCAAGTCACGATAGGCAGGATCCAAAGATAGTTGTTTGAGCGTCCGACGATGAAGGCTCAGTGAGGGTGATAGAGACAGAAATCTTTCAGTACCGGCTACATATTGACTATCTTGCCTAAATCGTTGCGACTTGTTTTGTACTTCAACCACAATGATCATTTGGACCTATTCGAGTGCTTCCTTCCTACTTTACGAGTTACGCGCGCTTTCCTCAAGCTGATCGCAAGTGAACTAGTTCGAATCAATCTAAGAGTGAGACGTGCGTGAGGGTGTTCAATCTGCTCTTATCCATCGATGTAATATTTGCAAAGTAAATGCTACGAACAACAGCATAACAAGAACCTGGTCAACGCGCAAAGAGCTAATATAACGTGCTGAACATTGCTTGCAATCATTGACAAATTCGAAACTCTTCGACGACAAGAAAACATCAGTGCAGAGGAAAACTTGGTTTAGATTAATCTCCATGGACAGTTACACGACTATCATGTGTGATTTTGACAACATGAAATCTACAATGAACGACTAATTGCAATTATCCAACTCAGTGAGAAGAGGAAGAGAAGGGGTTTGATCTGACTTCCAGCGCCCAATGGTGTTGTTGTGTAGGGCGTATCCGAAAAAGTGAAGGAAGTGGAGTACGCTGATAGCGAAGAATACTGGGTAAAGCGGAATCAGCAAACACAAATGAACTCAACAAGGATCGATACAAACCTTGGCGATCTCAGTTGCAATGTTTGTCTTAATGTTATTCTGCGCACTGGTTGCATCACTCTGAAATTACGGTCAGAACTGAACGGGTGGATGAAAGCATCTCATCTCACCGCACTGGCCACTTGGAGTTGTGCTGAGTATTCCACCTGGCTTGCCCTTCGCGCTGTGACGGACAAGATTGTCAAGACGACATTGCTCACAACCACTGGCAAAGCTGCATTGGTAATGGCTTTCTTGAAATCCGCTTCGTTCGCTTTGAACTGGGCTTCTGTGACCGCCGCTGTACCCCTCATGTACACATAGACAGGTGCCGCAGTCGTGGCGGGAGCTGGCGCCGCAGTCGTTGCGGGAGTGGTAGTTGACGTCGCCTTGTACTGGATCGAGCTGTCGATGGAAAGAAGCTGCACCGAAGATTTTGCCAGCTCATCCTTCAACTTGGAGAAGCTCAAGTACGCACTCTCTGTTCCAGATGATACCTCCACCGTTGTCACAAACGTTGTAAAGGTGTAGTTTACGCTCGGGGTCATCAAAACCTTTTCTGTCGAGGTAGACGTTACCGTCCATGACGTTGATCCTTTCACAGCAGCGTTGAAAACAGTTGGTGTGGTCTTGTTCGTAGTTGCAGTGAAGTAGATATTGAGCTTGCACGAAGAAGGGCAACTAATGCAACCAAGCACGCCCTTTCCGGCACATGTTCCATTTAAGGCATTTCCAGATGGGCAAGAAGTCGGGCACATGGAACAACTAGAGGAGGTCTCGTAATAGGAATAGATGTCTGGGTTGATGACTGCATATTCAGGAATGTTCGAGCACGTAAGACTTCTGGTGCTCGTGCAGTGTGCCATCGACGTGCTGCCTGGTGGTGCCCAATTTCCTGCTAAACAGGATTGACAATCCGACATACCTGGGTATGGGTTGTACTTTCCAATAGCACACTGCATGCAAGAGCCTCCCGCGTTTGAGTAATACCCTGCAGAGCAATTGTAGCAATCTGACACGTGCATGGCTCCACTGTTGGATGTTTTCCCCGCATCGCAAGTACCGCAATTGATATCCGCGGTGATCGAACAGTTTGTGATCACATATTTGCCTGCACCGCATGGTGATCCACACGAGTGACACATTGTATTTCCGTTGCCCGCAGCATACTTTCCACTATCACAGGTGTGGCATGTGGTTTGGTTCTCAGAGCCCTGGTACTTGCCTGCAGGACAGGCCACGCAGTTATCCCCAGATGCATTTTGATAGTAGCCAGCCTTACAGACGCAAACACTGTTCAAGATAGACTTGGATGAGTCCGAACAAGTCTTTGTACAATACCTTCCTGTGGTTTGATCGCACGTGGAGGATGCGATCTCATCGGATTGACATGACACAGTCTGATTGCAAGCAGAGCATGACCCACTTTTTTGAGCGCTCCAAGTGTCAGTAGGACAATCGACACAGGTAGTGAAAGAAGAATTCGAATATTTGCCAGCTGCACACATTGTACAATTCCCGGTGCTGGTGCTGGCATCACCGGCGTAGCCATCATTGCAGGTACATTTGCCTGAAGCCAACGCAGAGTTGGCCGGGCAGGTACGGCAAGACGCTTGAGTAGTTTTAGTGCAAGTTTGATCAGTTTGCTGAGTTGCACTGCATTGCGTGCAGGCTATACAAGATTGTAGTCCTTCGACGTTAGCGTAGTTCACACCTTCCGTGCAATCATAACACTGCGTCAGTTTGGTTTCGTTGCCAAATTTGCCTGCAGGACATTTGGTACATCCATTCGTAGCATCCTTGTAATAATATCCCAAGCCGCAATAGCAGTCCGTCGAGGAATTCCGTGGAGAGTCCGAGAGCTGTCCACCTTCTCCTTTGCACTGCTGGCACGTATACTGGGAGTTGCTACACGCGCTCGGATCCAAGTAATACCCAGTGTTGCAAGAAGATGGAGAGGCACATGAGTAGCAAGTCGACTGACCTGCCATGGAGTACGTCGAAGCGTTGCATTCAGTGCACATTGCAGCGTTGGACTTGTCCGACTTGTACTTCCCTGCCTCGCAGGCGATGCAAGTGGAGCTCGTAGAGTTGTAGTAGTACCCGGCATCGCACACGCACACGCTGCTGGCTGCGCCCGAGTTTGCGCTGACTGAAGTAGAATAAGTAAGATAACTCGAGCATGTCGCACATTGCAGGTTCTGTGAGGCAGTGCAATCACCACTCTTATAACTTCCAGCTGGGCAGGTTGTGTTGCATGCTGTGCATGTAGTTGCTCCAGTGGCCGAGGAGAAGTTGGTACCAGCTGTGCACGAGAGGCAGGCAGTCAACCCATAGACCGAAGAGTATTTGCCTGCAGCGCATGCATCGCAAGTTCCGTCGGTCCCAGCGTAGCCAGCATTGCACTTGCAGGAAGACACGTTGGGTGCTCCTCGCATATTCGAGTAAGAGTTCGAGGGACATTGTTTGCAAACCCAGTTGTAAGGGGAAGTTCCCTTGTCAAGATAGAATCCCATTTCACACATCCAATCACAGTTGTCGCAGGGGTTTTGGATGGTCGTGCTGCTCATGGAGCTGTAAGTATTCTTCCTCAAATGAAGGCTAGAAGCATCGGGGGACGATTGACTGCAATCAAGGTGATAAGTTCCACATAATGCCTCGATCACATTCTATCGTACCCGCTCATCTTGCTCATATCCGCCTCAACGGCAGACAGCAAAATCACCAGAAAGAATGCGCCCAGAGAGCTCATCCCTCCCTTCATCTGCAGCAACAGTCGGTCAGTTACTGTCATCTTGGACTATCTTTGCGCTTTTGCAAACTGAACTATTGCTAAACTGAGCTTGAACTAGAGCCACAAGGACATTCAAAATTCTACGCATGCAACTGGATGAAGCCGAAACGGTCCAAGGAAAAAAGTTGGAGACGTAGCAAGATGGAGCGAGGAGCAAAAGCAATTGTAAACTATGTGCGCAAACTATCATACCCCTACAACAAGCAGCGCTGCTAGAGCTCATAGAACAGGAGGTGCTGTTCCAGAATTTGCCATCTTCTGTCAGTTGTGGCGAACGGATTGGGATAGGCCCTGGTGACCTGCCCCTCCCTGCTGCACCCTACCCCCTGTGTCTCCTCCATCTTTGACCCCCACCCAGTAATTTACCGACAAGTACCCACATCTTTGAGGCGTTTCTGGTCTCAAACTACCCCCACCCGCAATGTGCCACTCCGCCGCCATGTCAGTTGGCGGGGACCTGTTGCCTTGATTTGAATCCTCCACTCTATCCACCCCACCATTTCATACACCCTACCCCTTCCTTTTCCAATTTTTACCCCCTTACATCCCTGTCAAGGACCCCACCCATGTCGGTCGATCTTAACTGCCGGCCGACGCCACCAACGGCTACAGCATGTGGCCCGAACCATTCTTTTTTAAACTGCGGACGACCCTACCCACTATATAATTGTCTCCCATACCCCCGGTAGTTCCGAACCACCCTACCCCTTGTACTCCAGGACATCACAGGCTCTTTTGCGCAGGTGATCATGCTTGCTACATCTCTTCAGGGCTGAGTTCCTGGCATCGGAGGTGGTGGGGTGGTTCGATGACCCCTGGACCCCCTGTAGCCCACTAGAGATAACCCGTGCCGTGATCATATCTCATACTACACCGTAGTAGGCATCCAGCTGTCCGGAATCTCAGACCACCCCCTCCTTCCTGGGTCAGTGCTGACCCCTGTCACCCGGGGCGCAACCCGTACCGCGGTACTACGGTACGATACCGGTGAGGGTACCCTCGTAAAATCTGTCCGGATACTACCGGTATTCATGAGTGCTCAAGGGGTGACCATCGGAGGTGTTCCACACTACCCCACCCACTCGTATCCATCCGGGGCATAGTCGCATGCTGGTCTCCAAGAGTCCCATGGTGTGGGACCCACCCCACCCCTGCTCTTTTTAGCTGCTTTTAAAACTTTTAAATGCAGGACTTCATTCAGCCCGCCTTGGCATAAGTGAGTAATAAGATTTATGGACCCCCACCCCCAGGGCTACTTGTAGGGTTCACAGGCTGTACCGGCTATCTTACGCCGCGATCGGGATCGGTACTGATAAGTAGGAAAGGTACTGAAATTCACTATCAAAAGCTGAGATATGACATGAATTACAAGTACAAAATGATTGAAATGGTACAAGAGTGAACACTACTTTGAAGTATACAATTTTTGTGGACATACTAGAACGAAGGCATCGAATAATGTTATTACTTGAATTTGTACCGAAAAGGTAGCACGAGGGCTGCTGCTGGTACTACCGTGACTGATTGCCCCCAAGGGCCACCACTTACTTTTGTGAAAGCCTTCGGCGGCGGAAGGCCGCGTGACGGGGGCCGGGGACCCCTGGTCAGCCCCGGCGGGGGGACCCTGGGGGTCACCTGTAGGGAGGCGGGGGGTACCTTACAAGTCAAACAGAGGGACTCCGAACCGCACCGTACCCACCCCGCCCACTCTTAGTAAGCGGACCCCATCAACCCCAGCGAGGCACCCCTCCAAATGAGAGCCCCGCCAGACCCTCCGGGAGTCCTCAGCGATGACCGGGTTGGCTTTGCCCCGGCGACCCCTACCCCTCAGCAAGCCTGTCAGATGAAGCGGAAAGCACCGGTAGAAACCCGGAGTCCCCGTGAACTTCGTCGGAAGAGTCAAAAACAGTTTTAAAAGGTCAAAAACGATTTAATTTGAGAGCACCCCTGCGGCGGGGGAACTTCAAGTCTCTTCAGCAAGGTCCAACGGTTTCCGTTACCCGGCTCGGCGTCGGACGACGGGATTTCCTTTCAATTGAACCGCGCGGCTGGCTCCGGCTCCGCCCGGAGACTCGGACTCCGGGAGCCTCCGAGTCACGGTCGCCGGTACCGACGGTACGGTACTGCCGCCGCGTGAGTACCGGGCGTACCGGGCTACAGCTACTAAGCGGCCGCGTTGAAAGTAAAAAGTTGAAACTTGAATACGCAGTGACTCGGAGAGAAAACTCGGACCGTGACGCCGTGGCCCAGCCTATGAGGTTCGGCCTCACGTGGCACTGCGGCACCGTCCGAGCCTGCCGATCACAGCCCGGCCCGTGACGGTGCCGGGCACCGCCGGTGTCTGAGAGACTTGTTTTCTCTCGCCGTATAGCCTGTGATCGGACGGTGCTACGGTGCCGCGATATAGTACTCATTCAAGTTTAAGTCAACGGAAGTTTGACTAACTTACGAAACTGACTCAGTGAACTTCGCGGCCTCGGGCCTGGTGAGGATGCTTCGCAGTGACTGCTGTGGCCCCAAGCCCAGCAGCAGGCTCAGTGAGTTTGTTGACTGAGTGATCAACTGAGCCTCGGAGTCACCGGGGGCCCGGCCGCGGCACTCAGCCGTGACTGATGCGGACTGGGATGCCGGCCCGGCCGGGCCGCCCCGGCCCCCGGGCGGCGGCCCGGCGGCCAGGCCCTGACTCAGCTGATATTGGCATACGACACCGGATCAGTTAGCTAGTACGAAATGCGATGATGTGGTCTGTCATGTGGAACGAGGTAAAGATGTTGAGGTACGAGGCACTAGCAGCCATGAAACATCATGAAGAATATCATGGCTACTAGTGCCTCGTACCTCAACATCATCACCATCGTTGACATAGTCTTAGTCCTAATCCTCTTCCTTCTCCTCTTTGTTGTCCTCCTCATGTGAACCCTCCTCCTCCTCCTCCTCGCCGATCAGGCTTCATTTCCTCTGAGGCAACTTCATCGTGATTTCTGCCTTCACTATCAACACCATTAACATCATTGCCACCACCCATCACCATTACCAAAACCTTCATCATTCTTGCCGCCCATGTCAAGTCGTCGACCAACCTCAGCTTGCAAGTATGCTTGTTGAGCAGTGACCTTGACACGACAGCCTCTGATCTCTCCATGGCCACAAAGAAGCGTTCTTCTCCGAGCAACAGCAACAGGCACTCTCTTTCTTCCCTCGCTCCTCCTCCTCACCCTTCATCTTCAGTCTGCCCATTGGATGGATTTCGCTGGGGGTTCTGGTCAGCGTCCTCGCTGCCTACATGCTGAGGCTGGAAAGGTCTGTGCTGCTGCTCCTGCTGCTCTGCTGCATCGACTCACCGAGACGACAGCCATCCTCCCGTGCCATCGCTGAGCGCACAGGAGCTGTATCAGCAGGGGAACTCCTTATTCTCACATGTGAGTTGGTATCCTTGCCCGATCCCCTCCTGACCTTCCTCTAGGGGAGGAGACGCGAGGCCGTCGACAGCTACCGGGAGGCTGTCGCGAAGGACCCAAGGTAGCAGCAGCAGGAAGCAGCAGCAGCAGCAGCAGCAGCAGCAGGAAGAGGGAGCAGCAGGGAGCAGCAGCAGTAGCAGCAGCAGCAGCAGCAGCAGTAGCAGCAGCAGCAGCAGCAGCAGCAGCAGCAGCAGCAGCAGCAGCAGCAGCAGCAGCAGCAGCAGCAGCAGCAGCAGCAGCAGCAGCAGGAAGAGGGAGCAGCAGGTAGCAGCAGCAGGAAGCAGCAGCAGCAGCAGCAGCAGCAGCAGCAGCAGCAGCAGCAGCAGCAGCAGCAGCAGCAGCAGCAGCAGGAAGAGGGAGCAGCAGGGAGCAGCAGCAGTAGCAGCACCAGCCGTCTGACTCTCCTGACTATCGCAGGCACTCCTTTGCCTGGACAAACCTGGGCAACGTGCTGAGGGAGCTTGAGGACCTCGAGGAAGCCACCAAGTGCCATCGCCGCGCCCTCTCCCTCACTCCCCACCGCCCCCGTGCCAACTACAACCTCGCCGTCACCCTGCAGACAGCAGAGCAGCACGAGGAGGCCCAGCGCTACTATGAGCTGGTCCAGCCGTCGCTCGCCTGCGCGCCCTCCTGACGTCATGGCAGGCCATCGAGCACCACAGGAAGGAGCCGCAGCAAGGATTCGACGTCTCCCGCGCTCACTCCAACCTCGGGGTCACACATCAAGCACAAGGACGACTCGACGAGGCTGCCAGTGAGCCGCCTCGCCTGCCGCTGCCGCTGCCGCTGCCGCTGTTGGCCTCCCAATCCTGCTCATCTTCCTCCCACTCCTGCTCCTCCTCCACTTCCTTCACTCCCCCCCCTCTTCCCCACCTACTTCTCTCTGCTTCTCTGTCTATGTTCTATCAACCTCCTCTCAACCTCTTGGCCTCACTCGCTCCCTTGTGACGCAGGGAGTTTCGAGGAAGCCCTCGCGCTCTCTCCGAGTATGAGGAGCGCGTCTTTGAACCTCTGCAACGTCAAGGTTTGTTCTCCCTTCACCTTCGGCTGGTCACCAGCACGTCGCAGCTGCCGCTGTCAGGGTACGAGGAGGCGATCAGATGCTTTGACGCCCTGCTAGCTCGAGATGGAGATTTTGACAAGGTTGGGAGAAGTTTCCCTGCTGCTGCTGCTGCTGCTGCTGCTGCTGCTGGTCCTGCTGCTGCTGCTGCTGCTGCTGCTCCTTCTGCTTATTATGCTGCTGCTGGTCCTGCTGCTGCTGCTGCTGCTGCTCCTTCTCCTTATTATGCTGCTGCTGCTCCTCCTCCTCCTCCTCCTCCTCCTGGTCCTCCTCCTGCTTCACCTCTCCTGGTCTCATTCCTTGTTGACAGGCTGTCAGCAGCGCGGCAGGAGTTCATCACCTTGCGCAGAACCTTGAAAAGGCGTCAGAGCTTTACAGGTAAAGTCGAAATTGCATGAACACACCAGCTTGCTTTCTTCCTTCCCACCTCCACTTCCACCATCGTCACCACCAGCAACTTCATCTCCTTCATGGTCTTCACCTCCTTCATAGTCTTCATCTTCATCACAATCGTCGCCATCATGTCTCCATTTCCATCTGTGTCGTCGTCGTCGTCGTCGTCGTCGTCGTCGTCGTCGTCGTCGTCGTCGTCCTCATCATCATCATCATCATCATCATCATCATCATCATCATCATCATCATCATCATCATCATCATCATCATCATCATCATCATCATCATCATCATCATCATCATCATCATCATCATCATCCCGCTGCTTTCTCGTCTCTTCTCATTTACCACGTCAATCAACAGGAAGGCGCTCATTCTGAACCCCGACAATGCTCCAGCACGGCATGGGGTACTCATCCATCGCTCCTCCGTCCTCTGCTCTGCTCTCCCTGTGCTCCCCCCCGCCCCCTCGCCTCCCCCGTCTCATTCCTCTGCTCTGCTCTCCCTCCCTCCTCAGGTCCGTCCTTCTTGTTCCCTTGCCTTTCCCTCCTTCCTCTGGCCCTACCAGTCAACCTTGCTTCCTCTGTGTCTCCTCCTCCCTCCCTATCTCACGTGGTTGTAGCTGGCGTCAATCGAAGGGCAGGGAGAGGACGTCGCTCCTGGTTCAACCTGCTCCCCCCCCCCCCCCACCTCCTCGTCCTCGTCCTCCTCCTCCCCCTCCTCCTCCCCTTAATATTTGAGCAGAGGAGTACGTCAAAGAAATGTTCGACGGGTATGCCATCTCCTTCGATGAGAGTCTTGAAGCTCTGAGGTCCTGACCCCTCCCCATCCCCTGTCCTACCTTCCAGCCCTACTCTTCCTCCTCCTCTTATTCCTCCTCGTTCTCCTCGTCATATCTCCATCATCATCATCATCATCATCATCATCATCATCATCATCATCATCATCATCATCATCATCGTCATCACCTCTCTCTGCAGGTACCACGTCTCCCGACGAGCTCCTACGGAAGGCGGTGGACCATGTGGTGAGAGAGAGCTGGGGGAGTCGCTCCAGCTGATCGCGGGTCGCAGGTGCGATCGCTCCCAGC